GGCAGTCAGGCCCTGGCACAGGCTGCCCAGGGAAGTGGTTGAGTCTCCATCCCTGGAGGGATTTAAAAGACGGGGAGACGTGGTGCTCGAGGACATGGTTTAGTGGTTGACTTGGCAGCGATAGGTTAATGGTTGGACTCGATCTTAAGGGTCTTTTCCAACCTTAACGATTCTATGATTCTACTTGTCCACAATTCTGACTACTGGGGAGGGGCAGCAGGTGGGAACAGCCAGGATATAACAAAGAATGTGTAACAAGAATATATGCCAGCCAACTCCTGGCATAAAGTAGCTGCAGTAGCTATCACAAAGCTGCCAGCAAGGGAGGAACTTTGCCGTAACCTAAACAAAAAGGAGCATTGGTCTTGATAGCGGCAGCGTACCCCACCACAGGTCTACTCCTCACTGCTCTATAAATCCAAACGACTTATTCTACAGAGATAACTCATTTTAGATCTAAAGTTGGGATCCAGCTCACTTCTATAAATAATAATTTCATCTACAGCAACCTGAAATATCAGATAACATTCAGATAAATGCAATCCATCTCTATGGATTTCACACTGGCAACAGATCAGAGAGCAGAACAAGCCATTCTTGAGAACTGAAACTGAGCAAGCAACAGATGAAGACCCAAATGTATACAACCCAGCATTCAATCACCTAGTAAATTCTACAAAAGGAATCCTTTTTAAATAGAAATCTCAACATGTTCCAAAAACCACACTTGTGTTCAAACCAGCTAGCCGGGGCGGGAATCAAAAACACATGCAATGTGCCATCCTATCAGATTGAAGAGCAAAGCATCAACAAATGAATCCTCCCAGTTTTCTCAAGAACTGGAATTATCCTACTTGGTCTATGTGAGATTTTAAAATTTAAGAGACCTTTCAACAACAGTTCCTGCTTGATCACTTACTGTGCTCATCAAGATACACATGCTGCAGTACAATGCTGTGACCACACTGGCTTTCATTCAGTGATCTGACCGATCCCTAGATAAACTAATATTTTCCTTTCTCACAAACACCTTTTAGGGCTACAGGTTTTCATTTAAGCCCCAAAATGTTTATCTCTGCCTCAGACAGTAGAGAGGGAGGGTAAGAACTGGGATGGAAAGGTAGTAAGCACAACATACTTGACTGTTTTTTTTTTCCTTCAGCATCTGATTTGGCCACTGCCCAAGGCAAAATAGTGGCTTCATGGATCTTTGCTCTGACTTAGTAAGACTGTTCTGCTAGAAAATTTGTCCTCGTCCAGCCTTCAGTTCAGCTCTCTCCCCTCTTGCATTTCAGCTTTGCAGAAAGATTTCAGAAGCAATTAGATTTCTGCCTAGCATGCCTTACCTGAGTGCATGAATACAATAGATACAGCGTGGCATGTTCTTGCGATCATAGATATCTGTAGTTTCTGGGTAGAATATCTAAAGATAAAACAAAGTTAGCAGTCTGAATTATACTCACTCTATACAGTCAAATCACATAACTGTAATAAGCCCAATTCTTCTGCAGTACACTAATGAAACAGCCCACAGAACAAAACTCTTTGAGCTTCTCTGCCCTGGCCCAACATTTCCCCTCCTTGAAGTGCCCAGCATTCCTTTTGTCTCTACCACCCAAACCAGGGCTCCCCTTGTCCTGCCCGTGTTCTACACACATGGATGAGCACACCCTTTCTTTTGTGTGCCCACCACGATACTGGGTCACCAGGTATTAGCGAGGACTTTGGCAAAAGCAGAGAGATGAAAAAAATACTTACAACAGAAGAGAGAAAAAGAGGATTTTGTTTGGACTAAATGGGGTTGAGAAATATGAGAGGAGACAGTGACAAAGGGAAACTGAGACCAGCACTGAGGTGCTCCGCATACTACATTTTCAGTTAGCTGGACCCAAAAGCTTTCAGACAGTCTCAAATGCAAAGCTCTTCAAAGTTTAACTCAAGGGGCTAATACTGGAAGCGTCAATTCATTCAGAAGTGCTGACAAGGTACGTTACTTTCTAGTTATTGGAAGGTTCCTTGCTGTTGCCTATGAGCACAAAATAGCATTGCTCTTTCCGTAAAGACAAGAGCAACTGAAGGACCCTCACAATTCCACAGCATCAGGTCCCTGGCTCTTCCGCATGGGGAACTACTTAAAGCACCAATATCTCTTTGTCAGCGTACTGGACACCAGCCCAGTTTCTTTACTCCTCACACATTTATTTCCCTCCAAAACCCACTTACATCTGAAAATCTTGCCTCATACCTGGCACTTAACTTCTCTCTGCCTAGCTCCCTCCTCATTTATTTTCACCTAACAACCTTAACAGCATATTTCAGCACTTCCTAATCCCAAATTTGTTCCTGTAAGATCATCATAAATCCCAGCAAGGCTCAACAAGTAAATCTCAACGAGTTATTTGAAAAACTTTGCCAAAAATAAAGCATTCAATTTGCAAGTATGTATGCAAACAAAACATACGTCAGATTAAACTACGCAATGATGGTTTTGGTGAGACTAAGCGTAATATGGCTTACAGAAAAAAAAAAAAAGTTAAAAAATTTACTTACTATCCATGTATGCAACTTGACTATCAGCACAACACTACCACAGTTCCATATATTTTTAGGCAACAGTGTTTATTAGCTCAGAGAAGTGTATCTGGCCATTCCCCTAGTGAAGCCAATAATTTATATTTGATTAAGCTACACCAGGAACATTTCAACTTGATGTGAAAATTTCGTAGGGAAATCTGAAGAAATGGAGAACATAGTATTTTCTGTTGCACTGCTGCTTTTAGCATAGATTTCTAAAAAACCTTCCACAACCAAACTGTAGCTCAGATATTGCTTAAAAGAATGCATGGCAAGAACAATGTAATGCAGATGTTATGCAAGATTAGTGATATTAATGATATGGTACAGAAGGAGGAATTGTTTTCCTCCTAATCATTCTCACACACGTAGCAGAATGAAATCTTTCAGCGAGTTTTAGGAGAGAACTTCTAGAAGGACACAAATCTAGAAACTGAAGAATTAACCAGATGAAGTCTGACGATTTTTGTACAACAGCAAATGCTCCCACGGAATGTAAAGCTTTTCTGAGATTACTTATTTATCTGCATGTACAACATAGAAATTACCTTGGGGAGACCAATCTCAGCCATGGCATTCAGCCACTGGATTACATTATCTGTGTGCCGGAAGTGGAGACCAGTTGCCTGAAATAAAAATAGGCAGGAACAAGGGGGAGGGCAGTAAGAAACAAAATATCACAGCTGCCAAGAACAACAGGGAGGTTCATTAAGATGGATAGCGAAAACAGTACTCTTACAGAAAAGAAGTCAGAAGTCTTCTATATACGATTATACTGACTGTTTATGACAAGCTCTTTCACATGAGTGCAAGCTCAGATATAAAGCTAAGAGTCCACCCCTCTCACTTAACCAATGTTCTAGAATGAAGGTGGAGTTTCTCAGGCGATACTAATAGAAGCTAACTTTCTGCTTATTTGCTCACAGTACCTCCATGTGCACATTCTCCTGTTTTAGATGTCTACCTAAAGCAGTATCTATGGCCAACGGCTCTCACCTTATATCTAGTCTGTTCCCTATCATAGATTTTCTTCACAGAAACCACTTTTGGGGAGAAGAAGTTTCCAAGTTTGGCCAGGTAGACTCCATTTCTCAATCCTTCTTCCAGCTCTGTTGTGGGAGGCAGCTCCTCATTCAGACAGGCCTCCATCCATCTGGAAGTGTAAGAGGAACAAAGTTGGTCACACGAGTATATTTCCAATTTGTGAACACAATGCCATGCTAAACAAGTTTCACGCTGCTACTGCTGTCACACTCTAGCAAACTCTTTACTTAGTATTAGGGGTTGAAAGTGGGTATAGCACTACCACACAATCTGTGTCATTAAAATGCTAGTCAGTAACACTTCAGACAAAATATTTAAGTAGTACAGAGTCCAGTCGCCAGAGTTTCACAAGTAATTAAGATACCATCTCACCATCATGTTTCTTCTTCAGCCCATGATTTAGCTGGTACTGATCTAGACATAGTGGCCAACCTGTCCTTTTAACTAACTTAAATCTTCCTCTTGAGTACAGGCTTACCTCACAAGCATTTCTTTACTCCACTCTCACTAAGTATCCGCTAGTTATTTCATGACTTTGTACCACTTATTCAAGCTCTTTTAGCTGATCTCAGAGAGAGGCCGTACAACGCTGTCATCAAGTCTACCTTCCTGACCTATATATTTTCTCTCACCCTACCACACATTTTGATAACGGGGGAAAAAACCTGGAAGAAGGCATTCCTCTCCTCATAACAACTGATTTTCCCTTACCTTGTTTCCTTCCATCTCACTTAACAGTGTCATGGATCCTCATGACAAAAACCAAAGATTACAACAGCCAATAATTTGAAAAGTCACTGTTCTTAAAACAGAGGTACACCTTGATATTTCTGTACGGAGCTACCAGAGGCTGTATAATGCAAGCTCAGCTACGCAGTTTCTTGCAAAGATGACACGCTCCCTGGCTGCTCTGTTCTCTGAAAAAGGGACCTGCGCAGCCACGGGCCACTTTCTAAAGCATTTTCCTTGGATCATGCCTCACTTGCAGCTAAACTCTAAAGCTCTTACAGATGAGCCTTTGATCAATAAAGATCACAGAATGGTGGCTTTCAAGACAATAATGGCCCAGAATAGCAGTAGCCCATATTATAAACCAGAGCTGACAGCACAACATAAGCAAGGTTGATAGTTTGGCTCACGGGGATGATGAGTCCAAGTTACTGGGACTGATCTTAAAGATGGGCAAGTAAAGGATCCTGCTTGAACCCAATGAAAATAATTTTAATATTCTAAATACTGTTTCAGATGCATTCATAACTGTAAACTATTTAGCTCCATATTAATCCAGGCAAGTGATAACAGATTAAATGAATAACTGGAGTAAATTAACAGAATTTCACAGAAATCAGTCCCGTAAAACACAGCTGGGAAAACTACGTGGCTCTGTTGACCAACTAAAACTGCAGACATTTCACATCTACGAGGTACGAGGCTTCATGCCTCATAATATTCTGGTTAAAGTCAAGCACTGTACATACACACAAAAAATAGCTCATGTATACTAAGAGCAGACTTCTCTAAGCAGTGTTTTCATGGGGATTCATTGAATGGTGCCGTTTCTAACGCATCTTGACACAGATGTGTGTTATGCCCCCCTCTTTCAGTTTTCCAGGAAGTAAACACAAAAATTGAGGCTGACAAAATTAGAGAATTAGAGGATGTCATGGTTTAACCCCAGCCGGCGACTGAGCACCACACAGCCACTCGCTCACTCCCACCCCCCACAGCGGGATGGGGGAGAGAATCGGAATAGTAAAACTGAGAAAACTCGTGGGTTGAGATAAAGACAGTTTAGTAATTGAAATAAAATAGTAATAATTAATAAGAAGAATAGAATATACAAAGCAAGTCATGCACAACGCAACTGCTCATCACCCGCTGACTGATGACCAGCCAGTCCCCGAGCAGTGGCCCCCCGGCCAGCTTTCCCCCAGTTTACGTACTGGGCATGACGCCCTACGGTATGGAATAGCCCTTTGGCCAGTTGGGGTCAGCCGTCCTGGCTGTGCCCCCTCCCAGCTTCTCGTGCATCTCCAGGCTTCTCAGTCAGTAGAGCATGAGAAGCTGAAAAGTCCTTGATTTAGTGTAAGCACTACTGAGCAACAACTAAACCATCAGTGTGTTATCAACATTATTCTCATGCTAAATCCAAAACACAGCACTATACCAGCTACTAGGAAGAAAATTAACTTTACCCCAGCCGAAACCAGGACAGAGGATAACACCAATATTAGCATAACTGTAACCTGTAATTAGCACACAGGTGGTCACAGCTTGAGTAAGAACAGGGCTGTTCAGATAACCTAGGCTTCAGACATGGTTAAATATTACGTCATTGATCTAGCTTATCTACAGACTGGGGATTGTATCCTAAAAGACAACTGTGACACTGAAAAACGTGTAATGAGTACAGCAGACGTAATGAATTCAAAGTTTAAAGCTGTAAGACCTAATGCTATTGTGGGGTATACAAAGGGGAACAGTAAAGTCGGGCACTACTATTCTTTTGTATACGACACTGATGAGACTAACCTTGTCATTGTGGTCTGCATTTTTTCAAACTGGGAGAAGGAATAAGATAGGAAAGAAGTTTTTGATTAGCTAAGATAATACTTCACAGTGAGAAGCCTGAACAACGCAGTGCATTCAGTTTGTTGAAATAAAGCCTGAGAAGCAGCCCGGTGCTCTGACAGTCCTTTGGGACAGTCCTTCGGTAGCAGACTGAAATTGGATGACTGAAACTGTAGTCACTTACATCAGCCTGCTGCACCTTTCCCGACAAACAGCACCAAATCTAAGGCAGAAGCACGTGAACTGCATGTGAATCAGCTTCCGAACCATCAATTTTCAGCCCAGCATGCAAGGCTCAATGGAAAGAGCTAAAAATTTAACCTGCAATATCTGAGAAGATGACAGAATAAGTAACCATTCTTTCTGACCTTAATGAGAAAATAATACGTGATGATTTTTTTACAGTAATTTAGGAAAGAAGTATTATAAACATAAAATTTAATTTGCATTTTGGGGATATTTTTGCACAGTTCTTGATCTCAAATACAGAACACTGTAGTGGTACATGACACAGATGAGATGCATTCAAATTCACCACGGCCAGTTTTTCATCTCTCCTGAGAAGGCAGCAGACTGCATTTCTAATTCTAGAAGACAGGTAGCTGTTAGTGAAAATGAAAAGTCTCCCTGGCTGCAATATTTTAACAGTCAAAGGAAAGGTAACTTTGACTAGTGCAGATATGCAGTCTTGGACAATCTTCTTCCCTGTCTTGCCTGTACTCAGTTTCAACCACCTCTAAGGTTACTTTTTTTTAACCTGCCACAGAGCTAGCCTGATACTCTACCACAGCTCCTCCATTTTCATGGCGGTTAGCATAAACAGAATGCTTGCTAAAACATACATTTCAGATGAATGCACATCTTCACTACTCAAACTCAAGGAGAACGCCAGTCAAGTTCTTATGTCTGAATCTATTACTTCTCCATCTCTCTCTATTTGAAATGTTAGTATGCAATACGGTCTCATAGTACCTGAAGTGGCCATCTGCCTTTTAAGATAAACAAGCCAGTGTTCTTAAAACAACAACAAAGGCATAACACTAGTGCTTTGTTCTTTGCTCTAAATCTATATTTGCTTAAAGGTACAATTCAGACACATCTGTTTAGCGCAGCTGCCACTAACCCTCAGACAGCCTTTTCTAGTAACGCACGTTAAAATCAGCTGGAGCGACTCTGATGCCTACACCCAAGAGCATCTAAAAACTGACCGTAGAGCAAATACAGCACGAAGTCCTCAAATTTTAATTCACCCCTTTTGCACTTCTGTTTGAGTTTTTTTAAAAGATCTAATCCCCGGTCCTGCTTCTATCTGTGGATTCTGCAGCAGACAGCTACGCTTACAGCCTCACTGCTGAAAGAATACTCGTGATTCAGTAGAGGTTTTACAAACAGCTTGATTTCACTGCTCTTTCTTTGGTTATTCAGATTGTTTTCACTATCTGCATTCCTCTCCGGATAACATAGAAAAATGTGAAGTTATTTCAAAAGAAAAAAAAACTCACTAACATTCCATAGCTGCTCATCATAAAGTACCTACAATCAGCCACTATTACAGTCCCCAAACCTCGGTTCTGCTGATTCTTCCATCTGAGTGCAAACAACTACTCAATTTTAAGACACATCCCCTTTGCCCAGGAAAGCCTTCTCCTCACACCTGGCTTCTCTACAGCTCCAAGCGGCAGAGGTGACACCTTTGAAAAGCCAGAAAAAGGTGCCACAAAGCTTTTCCATGAGGTTGCCACAGTAACTAACCACCAGCAACCAGATGTCTCCAACAGACACAGCGGTGGAGATTTCAGGAGAGCCTGGAAGGAGGGGGAAGAGAAAAGGGAAACTGCACATTTCTCAGGAACCAGCGCTCACAAAAATCAATGGCAAGAAACAGTTTTATGTTCCTGCTGACAGCCCTCCCGCAACAGGGAGCGGTCTTCTGCAGGAAACGGGCAATGCACCAGATTCTTCCAGCTTCTGCTGGCTTCTCATTCTCCAGCCATCTGACTCACTTCTAGTCTTTCCCAACCCCCAAAACTAGAATAAATTTCCTAATCAACGTCTCACAAAACTCTTCATGAAACATACAACATGACAATTGTAGCCTCTGCTCTGAATGTCCAGATTACAAAGGCCCTGCATGCAGACACTTTCAATCAGCAAACCAGTAGCTGGCTGGAATGGCTGAGGCAAACGTTCCCCAAAATGACCGGGCCCTAGCACTACTGAAGAAAGCGTCGCTTGAAATGGGACACTGCAACACTACGCGGGGAGGGTGCAGAGGGAGAAAAATCCCCCCTCACTCCCCCCAAAAGAGGGGATACTCTATAGAAATCAAGAAGTATCCTTTCATATTCTGGAGAAGCACCTAAACACTATCTAGAAAGGTATATAAAAATGACATTTCCAAGCCTCAAGTCTCACACACTTTTTGTGGGTTCTACTCGTTTTCCTAAAAAGCTGCGAGAAGTCAGAGGACTGATTCATGTGTCCTTTGACAGCACCTGACTAACTGGAAATGAGAATTAGTCTCACTGCCTGGTTTAT